CTGGGACCTCCCACAATGACAAAATTACGTTAGGTTGTCAGGCTGTGTGGCCTTCCATGAACAGGCTGGCTTTTTATAGCATCAGCGTATTGGGGATCTTTTCTCTGCCTACCCTAACTAAACAGGTGAGCATTACCCTTGCCTGGGTAGATACTCTTATGTCTTAGCTGTTCTGTATCTCCTTTTCTTTCTTTTTTTTTCTTACTTTTTTTTTATCTCTTTATTCCTCTCATACGCTAGGAGGTCACTGTTGGTACTGGGGACTAAAAATTACTAATGGAAAGGTTGCTTTCCAATACTCTGTCTCCCCAGTTCCAGAGCAAGCCCTGTGGTAACTCCTACATTAATACAAACTGATGAGGCAGAAGAACTGCTTCAGTCTAGGAGTTCGAGACCAGCCTGGGCAACATAGCAAGACCCTCATCTCTTATAAAGAAAAAAAAAAAGGTCAGATGCGGTGGCTCATGCCTATAATCCCAGCACTTTGGGAGGCTGAGGTGAGTGGATCACCTGAGGTCAGGAGTTCAAGACCAGCCTGGCCAACATGGTGAAACCCCATCTCTACTAAAAATACAAAAAACTGGTCGGAAGTGGTGGCGTGCACTTGTAATCCCAGCTACTTGGGAGTCTGAAGCAGGAGAATCGCTTGAACCTGGGAGGCGGAGGTTGCAGTGAGTGAGCCAAGATTGCGCCATTGCACTCCAGCTTGGGCAACGAGAGCAAAACTCCTTCTCAAACAAACAAACAAACAAACAAAAAAGAAAAACACCAGGATGCATATTTGTGATCTAAGGAAGCAGTACCTGGCAGTAGACAACTGTGCCAGTGGTGGGAGTCCTAGGCTACAGCATGGCCAGGGGCTGTAATGAGGGAAACACTTGCCATTGGAAGGGGCTGAAACCAGGACTGGGAAAGGATCCAAGAGCATTAGCTATGTCTGTAACATTTGATATTCAATGTTGACAGAAAGTAGAATGTATGTTGGCCTTTGGGAATGGACACTCTCTGGGAATCAGAAAGTAAACAGTGGCAGCTCTGGGAAGGGATCTGGAAAATTGGAGGAAAGCCGGAATCCTGTTGTCAGGAGCTCTCTAGGTTCCAGCTTCTTTGGACTCCCGAGTGCCTGTTTGTGAGAGAGACAGCTGACCAAAGGGATCAAAAACAGCATAGGAAGGGAAAAAGAAAGATCCTGTTTAAATTCTGACAGGTGTTTGTAAAGTACTGCATGATCTCAGTGAAGATATAATTAAGAACAGACCCTCAGCAGTCAATATGGCTGTAAAAGTGACCAAATAAAGAAATCTAGCTGGCAAGAAGGAGACAGAGCCCAAAGGGCTATGATTAAGGGCTACCGTTAGAAGGCAGAGACTGAGCCACATGAAAGCAATTAGATATTGCCACCTTACCCGTGGGGTTTTTTTTTTTGTGTGTGATTAAGAAGTGAGCAAATGAAATGGACGGTGGTTGCAGTTACACACACAGTAACCTCTCCAGATACGACAAAACATTGCACTCCACAGGCACCCATATTCTGGCAAGTATCTACAGACACATGGAGTCTGTTTTAATCTGAGAAAACTTATCTATTGAACACCTAATTATAAGTATGAGCACTGCACATATATTATTTAATCTCAGTAACTCTATGGGCTAGGTGTTATCAACTCTTATTTTCAAAGAAGAAACAGACTCAGGGAGGCTGAGTAAACTATGGAGGGCTACTTAGCTAGTAAATGGTGGAACTAGTGTTTGAACTCGAAGCCTGTGAGATAGGAAACCAAATTCTAGAAGTAAAGAAAATAGGTAGGGAACCTTCCTTAGGTTGTAAAGAAAATAAGACATAAACTAGGTATAGATATCTATGTAAAAATCTCTTTCTCTTTTTTCATCCTAAAGAGTCTAGGCTCCAAGTCACTAACTTATAATACAGCACTGGCAAAGGATAATAGCTTCTTAGAATTGGTGAGAAATATGCTGTGGTCTCTGAGGAAGATTCAGAAATAGGAGACCACATGAGGCTGAAAGCCCCTAATGGAAAAGATCTTTGCTCCATCTCACACTACTCAACCATGAACTGCCAGGCATACAGGGCCAAATAAGTATCTGCTACGGAGATGCTAAAACCAGGCAAAAGTGAAAAAGCAAGTTTCCTTTTGTTCTTTCTACATTTTGATGAGGCAAAATTTCATCACACCATGGCACGCTGGGCAACTGGGCTGGGCCAGGAAAGCCCGAAGCTGGATTTTTCATTATCTTTGAACATTGTTTTATTTTTTAAGAAGAGATTAAGACTGGGCGCAGTGGCTTATACCTGTAATCCCAGCACTTTGGGAGGCCGAGGCGGGCAGATCACCTGAGGTCAGGAGTTTGAGACCAGCCTGCCCAAGATGGTGAAACTCCATCTCTACTAAAAAGACAAAATTAGCCAGGTATGGTGGCACATGCCTATAATCTCAGCTACTAGGGAGGCTGAGGCAGAATAATTGCTTGAATCCAGGAGGTGAAGGTTGCAGTGAGCCGGGAATGAACCATTGCACTCTAGCCTGCCTGGGCAACAAGAGTGAGACTCCATCTCAAAAAAAAAAACCCCAAAAAACCAAAAAAACAAACAAACAACAACAACAAAAAGATTAAGAAGAACTACATTAAAAGTGTATCCAGCAGAGTTGAAAAAATCACTTATAATTCTCTGACACAAAACAGTGAGTGATCCAAAGATATGATGGGTACAATTATATACCTTGTGATTTAGCATCCCATTTCCTTCTTTTTCCTTTTTATTTAAAATAAATAGAGGCTGGGCGTGGTAGCTTATGCCTGTAAGCCTCCTCATCCCAACACTTTGGGAGGCCAAGGCAGGCAGATCACCTGAGGTCAGGAGTTCGAGACCAGCCTGACCAATATGGTGAAATCCCATCTCTACTAAAATACAAAAAATTAGCTGGGTGTGGTGGTGCACACCTGTAGTCCCAGCTGCCTGGGAGGCTGAGGCATGAGAATTGCTTGAATCTGGGAGGCGGAGGTTGCAGTTAGCTGAGATCATGCCACTGCACTCCAGCCTGGGTGACACAGCAAGACTCTTGTCTCCAAAAAAAAAAAAAAAAAAGAGATGGGGTGTCATTGTGTTGCCCAGGCTGGTCTGGAACTCCTGGGCTCCAGTGATCCTCCCACCTCAGCCTGCCAAAATGCTGGGATTACAGATGTGAGCCACCCACCCTGCTTGGCCTAGCATCCCATTTCTAATGGTATATAATAGAGAAGTGCTCAACTGGGCAGCTGGACTTATTCACTTTTCTATACCCTTCCTTCCTCCATTCGTTAAACTGTAAGATCAGTGTAGGGAAGAATTAAAGTATTTTATAATCAGACATATAGAAGAAGGGACTTGATTATTTACTGACAACAACATTCATATCATAAACATTTTAAAAACAAATGGACACTGATACAGAAAAAGGAGAAAAGAGGCGTCAGGAGCAATGGCTCACTGCGCCTGTAATCCCAACATTTTGGGAGGCCAAGGTGGGAGGATCATTTGAGCCCAGGAGTTTGAGATGAGTCTAGGCAAGATACTGAGACCTCATTTCTACAAAAAAAATCAAAAAAGCCAGCTGGGTGTGGTGGCACACGCCTGTGGTCCCAGCTACCCAGGAGGCTGAGGTAGCAGGATGGCTTCAGCCCAGGAGGTTGAGGCTGCAGTGAGCCATGATCACGCCACTGCACTCTAGCCTGGGTAAAAGAGCAAGACCCTGTTTCACACATACACACACACACACACACACACAAGAAAGAAAGAAAAGAAAAGAAAAAGAAAGAAAGAAAAGAAAAAGAAAGAAACAAAAGAAGAAGAAAGAGAAAGAAAGAAAAGAAAAAGGAGAAAAGAATAATTTTCAGAGAATAGCAGTTTCTAAACATCATCTCTGTGAAAGATACGGCTCTTCATGGCCTCACCTCCTTTCACTGCTTTAGAAGCCATACCTGCCGGGCGCGGTGGCTCACGCCTGTAATCCCTGCACTTTGGGAGGCCGAGGCGGGCGGATCATGAGGTCAGGAGATCGAGAACGTCCTGGCTAACACGGTGAAACCCC